GACTTTCATTAATCCCCGAAATGAACCTTATTAGCGCGTAATCTGTAGTCGACGTTAGTGAAAAAAGTTGAATGCGCATGCTAAATTGATAAAGCCAACTGGTAAAATTAAAGGTGTTATGATTTTCTGTTAATGGTCTCTATGATTCTGAGCGAGAACTTGAAAATTCCTCGATTTGAAGTATCAATTACTAAATCACAGTTCGCGAAATATTTGCCACCAGTAATCTCAAGCGCAACTGCCATTTGTGCCGCAAATGACATTTGCGAAAAATGGTGAATGCGCATACCAAAGTGATATGGCAAACTGATAAAATTAAGAAAGATGTTTAATCCTGGTTTCTCTGCCTTCTTTATGATTCTAAAAGACGATATGAAAATATACGCTTAGAAAGACTTTTTATAATCCCCGAAATGAACCTTATTAGCGCGTAATCTGTAGTCGACGTTAGTGAAAAAAGTTGAATGCGCATGCTAAATTGATAAAGCCAACTGGTAAAATTAAAGGTGTTATGATTTTCTGCTAATGTTCTCTATGAGTCTGAGCGAGAACTTGAAAATTCCTCGATTTGAAGTATCAATTACTAAATCACAGTTCGCGAAATATTTGCCACCAGTAATATCAAGCGCAACTGCTAACTAGGCGGCAAGTGATATTTTGGGAAAAATGGTGAATGCACCTACCAAAGTGATCGGATCCTTATGATTCTGGAAGCCAATATGAAAATATATGTTTTAAAGGTTTTTCTTATAATCCCCGAAATGAACCTTATTGACAGAAATTCGTGGAAAATGATGAATGCGAGTACTTAATTGATCTGACCAACTCGTAAAATTTTGTTTATGTTCTTTATGATTCCAGATCACACTGTATAAGAGTCGTTATTATTTGTACAAAGTACATATATAATATGACGCCGTGAATCGTGAAAGTGGCCAACTAGATATGTGTTTCGTCGTCACTTTAGGATAATGCGTGAAACGGTTTGCACTTTGCCGGGAGAAGCGTACGGTGATACAATATTAGTAAAACTTTTGCCAGGACTTTTAACTTTTGTTGAAGATTCCATCGAAGACGCGTGCAATTTACCCCCACACGCATCCAGGACCAAATTGCACGAAATGTTGCATACGTGGAAGTAAATGCGCCGGGCGCATGTTGTGGAACATGTACCAGACGATCTAAGGGTCCGCAAGGTCCTGTGGTACATGTTCCAGGCGAAGTAAATCTCCATTTAAATAAGCGACAGGCACACATTGTGCAACAGTATAGTGACGTTTTTGTAACCGCGTAATAGCAGCAACCACTGCACCGAATCTAATGAAGTTAGTTGATAATATTACAAAAAAATCATACAATAGCGGCGAAGTTATGAAAAACAGAATCAACAAATCTTTAGATCCAATTTTTTTTTCGTGTGTCACAAGTGTTTTTCAATGTTTGAACGTCGTCACTGCCATTTGAAGGTGTCTTGAGTCTTGAGTCAAATTTCACTTACCACTGTTTTTGGTGGTTCTATCACTTTGAACCGTAATCCTCATTACTTATTAGTTATGGATTATTTGTTTACAAAAGAAATAAGTACATGTCGAAAAGTTTATAACATCCTTCAAGGGGAGAAATATAGCGACCTATTTTAAGAAGTCTATCGATCACGCTAAAGTTCTTAGGACTAGAAATGGAAAGTGCAAGGATGCCTGACTGTTCCCAGTTTTCTTTTACCGAGCAAACCTTTTAGCTTAGCGATAGTTTGTCGTCCCCATTTACAGGTATGTGTCAAGTAGTTGAGAAAGTAGGCCGTCTGCGGTCTACACCATTATCTATCCTATTTACCGAACAGTGGCAGAGTAGGAAGTGAATATGAGTATTTGTATGAGGCAAGCTTAGGGGTACCCACCTACGTACTTCTGTCACATCTAATTATACGCCGCTTTAGCCTATGATACGATACAATTTCAACTTTACAGGAGATGAGTTATTGTACAAATAACTTCTGCTTCTATTTTCTGCTTTTCTTTCGACCGCGACGATTAAATAATCAAGGTCAAGTCTGTCATAATTCTTATACTAAATCATATTCGGTCATTATAACGACAAGTGCTGGAGCTTTCAGTTTTGTTTTTCAGTATTTTTCTTTATATAAGTGGGTACATACAGGTACATATTTCCGTAGAAAACAATTCATGGATTATTATGGGTGTATGTGTATATGGTATCCGGAGGCATATTTCTAAAATATTCGCAATTCTACAGGTTGTCCCAATATCATATAGAAAGCTATTTAACGAATAACTTTTAATTACATATTCAGGAAAACCCTTTTAAAGATGGAGATTGATATGATATACTTACAGGTTTTGATGAGTAGTTGTTGAGATATTGGGTGTTTTATCTAACAAAACGTCAAAGTTTGAGTTTGCATATCTGCTCTCTAGATAGTTGGAGTGGTAAATGTCAAAAAATCACATTATGCTCAATTTTAGCCTGATCCACCCATTTTTCGAGTTTTTTGAATGTTCAAGACAGGGTGATCAAAAACGCAACATGTACTTTTCCGCCAAAAATAAATGAATTACCCCATATATCTTCTATTTTTGCACTATCGAATTTCTATTCTCATAAAGTGGTTACCCAATTACTTCAAACGGTTTCTGCGTCGTAGCGATTTGTTAAAAAAATGGACACTTCTCTATTCAAACAGCTCACATCACCCATGGAACCAAAAAACGAGTGGTTTTTTGACAATCTGTCTCTAAAATTAGATTTTTATCAAGAAATAAAGTACTTCAATGATTATATGTTGTGATTCATTATTAGAGATTGATATATGTTAATATAAAATTTATTTAAGCAAGGTCGTCGATTGTGTGTTTAACATGTCTTTAAACATTTTCTATATTGATAGAAATAGAATTTTAGTTATGTTTACTTATAGGTGCCACATTCAGACATCTCAACAAATTAGTTCTACATTATATCAATCTGTAATTTTAGTTAATGCTCGGTTTCTTTATAAAACTTTGATTTTTCAGACAGATTGTCAATAATCTGTGACTTGTCTTTTGTTTCCACTTATGTTGATGACTTGTTTGAGTAGAGAAATACTCAATTTTTTTAAGGAACTAGCTATAACAGAGAAGCCGTTTGAACAAACTGGTAACATACCTATTTTTTGAAAATAGCTCATGATGATGGGTATCCGATAGTTTAAAAATATACAGGATGTTGCCCTATTTTTGTGCACAAAAGTACAATTTGCATATTTGACCACCTTGCACTGATCCTTTAAAAAAATAAAAGAAATGGATGGGTGGCTTGAGTATAATAAAATTGTTTTGACAACATGCACTACTCCTACAATGAAATAAAACACCCAACAATATCAATATCAATTTTATTATATATTAATTTATTTTGAAATGGCCTATCAGAATGTGTAAAAAAGGATGGCATTTCACTTAAGAAAAATCAACTTTGATGTGGGACAAAAGTTGGGACACCCTGTATAATTGTGAATATTTTTGAAATATACCTTCAGATACCATATGTAGTATTTCATAACTAGTTTCATCTAACTTTTCGTTTAGTAGCAATACCCCGTCCTCGCACGGTTGGAACTCCCTGTATTTTCCTTGAAACAGAAATCTAATAGATTCGTTCCATATACGAGTAGTTTGACATCTAGGGGCTCACAATTCATCGTACTTGAGTGAATATATGGTACATTATCAAGTTTCTTATCGAAAGTCAATCTACTTGACACAGTTTTTTTAATCACCGTGTATAATTGACTGCTTAATATATCCATTTTTTATAAGTCTCTGCCACTGGCTAGTATCGTTTCATTCTCCTCTTCGAGTTTGGAGGCGTGCGGTCCATAGCCGACCCGCCGCCGGCTACAACTCGGCATAATTATCGGGAAAAGGAATTGAAGTACGCGCCCTCACACGAAGCTTTAACAAGCTTTCCCTTCTCCCTTACCTGGCAACTTTTTAATCAACAATATCAAGTTTGGCCAAGACTTTGGCGACGTTGATGTTGATCGACCGTGTTAATTAGATTCCGGCGCGATTTGGAACCGACCAGGGACAGAGAACGTGCTAAGCGTCGTGATACGTTGAACATGCAACCGGCACCGGTCGGGTCGCTTCCTGTTAAAAACGTTTTTATCCCACGCAAATACAGGTTCGTTTTAAGTCAAGTGGTGCCAAAACGAGACGATTTTTAAATCTTTTAATTTTTTGTCAACAAAAAACCGGACCTTAAGGCTTTGTTATATTGCGCTGTATATAGAAAGCCACACGTTGAAAAAAGTTCATAATATTCATTATGAAGGGCGTTTTTGTTAAAAACCCGTGTCTCGTTTTTAATCACCATTTAGGCTAAAAATGAGACAGTGAGAGGTTAAAAACAAGACACTGTATTTTCTGGCCTTTTAGTCATTTTACATCAGTGTGGCAAAATATGAGACCCTGGGGAATCAAAACGAGACACACTGCAAGGGTTTTAAAGCGTTTAGTAAGTCAAATAAGTTAGGTTTTAAATTGTGACAACGTTCTTAAAGAAAATTCACATAATTAAATACAAAACTATATTAAACTAAAAAGAAAACAAATCCAAAAACAAGCTAAATAAACCATACCTAATTCAAAAAAGGGGTAAAACAAGATTTTCAATAGGATTTTAAGAGCTAAAGTAGAAAACTTATTATTCTAACGTATTTTGTACTACATATTATTGAACGACGTATTTTTCAAAGTCGATAGGAAACCAATATTGCTGAGAGATACGACAGGTCTTACTTTCTATTTCTGGTTTCATTTCTATGTCACTTTTGTCGATGAAGTACTTTTCCTCAATGGCCGGAAAAATAAATTTAAATCCTTTGCGCCTCAGGTACTTTACTTCTACATCGCTCTCAAAAACTTTAAGGATTTGTGCCACGTAGTAAACTTGCGTTTATTGCGTTTTTTCGACTTAGGCTTACAAAAATTTTGAAGTCAATCTTTCCCGGGCTTTCCTTCCTTAAACTGGGTAGTAAGGTGGTTTTCTTGTACATAGGTTTGAACTATTGCTTGTATCTCTGGTTTAGTAAGAGCAAACCCCCATTTTGCCATAATTTTTATCTTATCACTCAAGTCTACTTCCATTTCTTTGGTTAGAGAAGTTTGTCTTCCCTGTTTACCAAGTGAACGAGTACGTCTTCTCGAAAGAGCAGATTTGTTAATTTTAAACTGTTTAGCTGCATTTCTAAGAGATAAAGTGCCATTATGTATTAGTTTTAGGGCTGTTTCCATGTTCTTTTTGTCGTAGGGACGCTTTTTGGGAACGTAAACCTTCGGCATTATTATCAAAGGTATAAAAGCTGTCTTGTTTTTTACCTGGAAGGGGTCTTGTTTTGTGGTGTCTGGTTTTTGCACGTGTTATTCACGACGTGCCTGCTTGCCAACAAATAAAAATAGACTAAATTCGATATGGAATATCATAGCCACATTTGTTATTTTGAAAACGCGATACTTTCCGAGTCTCTACGATCACGTACAGCGGCGCAACAGGAATAGTTTGTTAACACAATTTAAAAGATTTTTTAAGCAAAACGCACAATCAGATGCGATAGTTTTTTTCTCGATGTTTGTGTTTACGTTTATATATTATTCATTACATATTTCAATTGTATATATGTGGAAGTAATTTGTAACGTATTTTTTACAATGTTATTGCTTTTCTGCATTGGGAAAAATTGAATGTCTTGTTTTTAACCGAAATTTCGGCTGTCTTATTTTTGCACATACTTGACCCTAGTTCAGCACTGCAGGCCTAATAGGCCCATGGCTTGAGTGGTAACCTGTCACCAGCTTTTCTTGTTTACTGGCTTCTTCTTCCAATTGTTGATTCTTAACTCTTGAATGTCCATTACCACTTCCTTTTTCCATCTGGTTTTCGGTCTTCCTCGCCTCTTTTTTCCATCAATATTGCTTGTTAGTACTCTTTTTTGTATTCTCCGCACCCGTCTACCGCACTCCAGCGTCCCATCGAATATCTTCCGTCAGATTTTTCTCTCGCAAATAGCGATTTTGTTTTGCTTTATTTAATGTCCATACTTCACTGCCATAGCTGACAATAGGTCTTAGAATAGTTTTATATAACCTTAGTTTAGCCTTTCTGGAGACGATTTTACTCTTTAGTAGTCGATTCAGTGAGTAAACACACAGGTTACCTATCATCAGCCTATTCTGAATTTCTTCCGCAGTATCTGGTCTTCTTTTAAAAACAGTTCCTAAATACGTGTACGTTTCTACCTCTTCAAATTGGTAAGTTTTGCCACTGGCTGCTTTTACTATTGATCTCTCATTTTTAAACTCTTCCTCTGTCCATTTCATATACGTAGTTTTTCCTTCGTTAATATCCATACCCATTGACAGAGCTTTGTCTTCCAGCCCTTTCGTCACATTGCATAATTCCGCCTTACTTCTGGTTATGATCACTAAATCATCAGCGAATGCTAAGCATTGGTATTTCTCACGATAAAGTAATCCTTCTCTGTTTATTTTCGTATCTCTTATAATCTTTTCAAGACATAGGCTGAACAGGACTGATGAAAGTGGGTCTCCTTGCGTGACTCCTTCTCAACTAAAAAAGAATCCGATGATTCGTTGTTGATTTTGTTGTTATTTTCTACCTTCTTCATTAATATCATTATCAGTTTAATAATTTTTTTTTCGATTCCCATTAATCTTGAAGCCTGGATCATTTTCTTCCGATTTACCTTATCGTATGCTTGTTTGAAGTCAACGAATGATGCAAAGTGCTCGTAGCTTTCGGCCTGTATTTCTCGTAGTAAGAAGATTTGGTCGATTGTGCTTCTTCCGCGTCTAAATCCGGTCTGATATTCCCCTACGATCCTTTCCATACCTTCTCTCAGTAGATTCTTCATGTGCGATGTTAATATTTTACAGACAATATTCATTAGTGCAATTCCTCTGTAATTGTGTCATCTGCTCTTATCTCCTTTCTTATATATTGGGCATAGTATTGCGTCAGTCCAGCCTGTTGGTATTTTTTCATATATCCAAATTCCTCCAGTCAACTTTTGAACTTCGTCGAGTTTTTGTCCCCCGTATTTGAACATTTCGGCAGTGATGCTGTCAGCTCCTGGGCTTTTGTTATTTTTTAATCTACCTATTAATTCTCGTATTTCGATTAATGTTGGTGCTTTGTCGTTGTCTTCTATTGGAATATTATGAAATCTCTTCCTTTCATTTTCTTCTCCGGTGACCACTGTTTCTCCTGTGTTTAAGAGCTCGTTAAAGTAGTTTTTCCATAGTTCTAAAATCTGTTTTTCTTCTGCTACTATTCTGTCTTCGTTATCTTTATATATAATCGTCTTGGGTTGGTATCCTTTCCTTTCCCGTTTAACGCCCTAATAAAGGTTCCTTATCTCCTTTTCTTCTACTTTAGCTAGGATATTTTCAAAGTTAATTTATTATTTCTTCTCAGTAATGCTTTTGTTTTTTCCTTTGTTCTGAGTATTCTTTTCTGGGTTCTTCTGTATTTTCTTTTATTGCCTTTAGTCGGACTTCATTTACTATATCTTCTCCAGTTCTGCCTTGCATTCGTCGTCAAACCATAACATTTTTTTGGTTATTTTGCTATCTATGGTACTGGCTGCCTGGTTCATAGCGTTCCTTATTTTATTCCATCTCTCATTGACACCGTCTACTTGGTTTTTACTGTCTAGCTCTATGTTTACTTGTTACTCGTATCTCTTCTGTTGGTTCATTGTATTTAATCTGACTGGTTGTTTTGCCTTCTTCATCTCTCTTTTTTGGTACTTCACTATTGGAATTCTTTGCTCTCACTTTATTCCAAGTATATAATGATCTGAATCTATATCTGGCCTAGGTGCATTGTAATCACGAAAAAATGAAAATGAGATGTGTTTCTGGATGTTACTCGGGTTTTGATAAAATTTTGACACAAAGTCACCGCTATGCCAAGGGTGTGAAAGTTGGTTAGGTTTTGAAAATGGATTTGGTGGCGGCAGAGCTACAGTCAAGAAATGGTAACAATAAAAAAAGAACAAAATGTTTTTGACACCTAGCCAAGTTTCGATTCCGCTTTACTGTTTTAAGTAGACTTAACTCATTCGTTTTTATGTACATCTACATAAGTTACTTTTTCCTAAGACATACTAGTTTGTCCCACTATCGTTTTGGCAGCTTCTGTTACTGCACGTTGTATGGATCAAAACAAAAAAATAAAAATGTGAATTTTCTTCTATCTATATGTGAAATACAAGTATATCGGGTATTGTAAATTTGGCTTTCACCATTAGGGCCTTGGAAACGGTAAGAGATACGGAGTCACTTAAATAGAGGCCTGTGTATTTGGATAAATAAGGATAATATTTTCTTTTTCTCCCATGTAAAGAAGTATTTGCCGAGAAAGGCGGAAACAATGGAATTCTCCCAAAATCGTTTTTGTTTTTTCCTGAGTTTATTAAGGATCATATTTTAGACCAAGGGCACGCTAACTCACCACTTTTTCTTCTCTACAAGGTGACATAATGAAAATTTCAATCTGAAGTTGCGTCTCTTGACCTCAATCGTCATCATCGAGTAAAGAAAAAATAACTGCGAGCGTAGAAAGTACTACGTAACTTTAATATTTTAGAGAAAATGGAAGCCCAGACAATGCTGCAGCTTCTTAAACACATTTCATACTCGCTATATCTAAACCATATTGCATACAAATAGTACTAATCTACGGCTGAGGTAGTAAAGTAACGCTTATTATAGTCTACAAATTAGCAAATTATGCTTCTGAAAGTATTGGTGATATAATCGGATAAGCATGAGATAAACTATCAACCATGAAGATATTCGTTTTTTTAAGCAACAATGTCAATGTACGCCATTATATACACTTTTAAAATCGGAAATAAGAACTGAAGGAATGTCAGGCTGATGATATGAAACAAATAGCTATCTGATAATTTCAAAGCCTATTTCTTTTTCAAAAAAGGTTTTGGTCAATATATGTTATATTTTAGATATTTGGAGTCAGAAATAAGACTATTCACTTGTGCAGGAGTCCAATAAGGCGTCTATAAGAGAAAATAAGGTTGAGCAGATAAAACGTCACATGGGCATTCTAATTAGATTAGATTTAATTGTAGATAGAAAAGAAAAGGTAGGAATGTTTTTGTGCGTTTTACTTAGAAATTCCATCTCAAATAGAGTCAAGAAAAAATGAAAACGATTTTTGTAAAATTCCATGTTTTCTGTATCACCCAGAAACACTCGGCGTTGTGGAAGTTTCTAAGTACCATTTTCCTAGTTATCCAAATGTGCAACTTTTTCAAGAGCCCAATAGTGAGAGTGGAATTTGAAACACGGGGTATTTATCCGCTTCCAAATTCGGTAATTCTAGGCACCTATTACGCATATTTCATAGATTTTCTCAAACAATTTCCCTAAAAACTTATATAGATAGAGATGATAGAGAAATATTTCGAACACATGCTTCGCATACAACCCAACGAACATAGAGAAATGAGCCTTTGTCGTTTCCATGTCGACGGTACTGTCAGTAGGGCATGGGAGAAATTTCTACCTCTCAACGTTGCCAAACGGGGAGGTACTTGGACCAGATATATGGTCCTGTTTGACTGACTTATTCCATTTAAAGCTTTTTTCTCGGAGTGGCCAACTTCTACGGAACATAATTCTTATGAAGTATTGACAACGTCGTATGAAAACACAGTGTCAATCTACTTGAAACTTTATACTGGACAGCGGCGAACGTACAGATCTAAGTACGAAGGTACCGCGAGCACTAAAAGAATATGGCAGATACTGGATTGATTCGACTTGTGAACTGCCTGAAGTTATTAGAACTCAGAAAAACATCATCGGACAGATTCTTCCACAACCTCGATACTCCTAAAACAAATTATATATCGTGCCAGAATGTTTTCGAAGCACAAAATTTGGTGAAGCTAGAAAGTACTGGTCTGGCAGCCTGAGCCGGGCGGTATTATGAAAGAAAGATCAGAGGAGCAAATTCCTCAAGCATACCGATAGAAGAGAGACAAATTATCGCTGGTGTGAAAGAAGTTTGAGACAGAGTGTTAGGAGAGCGTAACTGATCGGTAGAACACCTCTCCTCTGAACAGCGTCCCATATGGATAGCGTAGTCGGAGCGGCAGGACCCCAGAGATGTTAGCTGTACTCCAGTCTGGATGCTATCCGAACGTTTTGAACAGTGAAAAAAAAGTACTTCCCAACACTAATCAGATAACCCATTTTATTTCAAGCAATTGTTAGTGCCAAATGAAACCTCG